CTATGGCGCTGGACGCTTTAGCCTGTTCGCAACTGCAACCCCTCATGTCGCCGTCGTCAACCGCCCTCCCTCTGCGTTGGCAGTCGGACAAGCGGCAGCCGGACCCTGTCGGCTGGTTCTCCTGGCATGGGCCATTGCTAACATCTTTTCTATTTTCGTGTAGAACGTGTACAAGTCGTTGCAAGGCAGATTTTCAGAAGCCGACACGTCCTTGCGGTTGGCCTCGGTTCTCATGGCCAAGGAGAGCCAAAACGGTTGACCAAAAAAAAAAAATTGAACTTCTTTTCTGTTTATCTAGATGCCCACACTTACCAACGGGCCTGTTTTTTTTCTTTTTTTTTCTTTTTTTTCCTTTCTTTTTTTTTTTTTTCAGAAAAGAACTGCCCGTTTGGGAGCTAGGGGTGCTGGTATGAGCAGACGCTGCTATCTCCCCCGGGGAGGCTCCATCTATTACCAACGGGCCTAGTTCAGTTAGTCGGGTTAGTTTGGTACATCTATGAACTGCTGAAATACAGACGCAAGCTTGAATCCAGATACCCTCGGACGAAGAGAATAATATCATTTTGAATTGCCTGGGACTGGTCAGTTCGCCGATGATATCTAAAGGTTGTCGCCCTTTTTGTTTTTGTTCTTGTTCTTGTTCTTGTTTTTGTTTTTGTTTTTGTTTTTGTTTTCGTTTTTTCTTTTTTGAAATGCCCACACTTTTGGCAAACAGCAGCCACTGGCCACAGACGAATGAACGAAAACCAAACAGCAAGACTTGTAGAGTCTTGGGAATGGAGCCGGAACCCCAAGGTTCCGTACATATACCAGCTGGAGTGTTTAACACGTTAGCCAGGTTCTTCCACCCTGAAGATATCACCCCCCGTTCTCTGTTTCGCACTGGCTGAACAGACCATTCTGGGCATATGCGCGGACATTCCGAACATCAGGGAGGGCCCCAGACATTTAGGCTGGCTGTCCCGAAAATGAATGAAATCAGAAAATGTTTTTGCCCGTGGAAAAGTATTCGCTCCATAGTCCAAACCGAAAGCGTAGCGTATGTCAATCAGGGTGACTGCGACCAGGGGAGGCCCGCTGGCAGATTGTAACTGTCTTATGAAACCCCCTTGTCCATATAGGCTCTCTTGGTCGAGTCTGTCGACTTTCATCTGGTCAGCGGGGCTCCCCTGGTCGCAGTCAGCCTGATTGATATACCCCAATTTGGGAGGCCCGCCGCAAAACGATTGCAGTGAAGTGTCGAGTCTGACGACTTTCATCGTAGCGCCTCATTGGCAGGCAAGGTAGAAAGAATTGAATATGATCCAAATAATTCCTCTTCGATGGCCCTAGCACGCGGGTACGCTGGATCTGCACTTGCATTCGCCACACTTCACGAATCGGGAGCCGATGACCCCTCGTACTGTGCTCTTGGACTGATGGTTCAATGAAATGTATTAATATATTTAGAAATTTATCTCATCCAAGTCATCTTTGCTTTCATACTATTTTCTTCCAATATTCGTCAAAGACTTCCTGCATGGACAGGTGTGCCCCCTTTTCATTTTCATGTTCTCCTTTTTTTTTTTTCCTTTTCTTTTTTTTTTCTTTTTTTTCCCTTTTCGTCTTCTCAAACTTCCGCCTCATGAGTCATACGACTCGCAACACATAATTTGTTCCTTTCTCCTGCAGAAGACATACTTGCATATTTCTCTCTGTGGCTTCATGCAACAAACTTGTGGTGGGGCCCACATGGATATCTTTACAAAGCAGAAAATCACATTTTCGCACCGCTCAACCCCACTGTGGCTCATCCTTAATTTTTGTTGTCTTCAGAAAACACACTCCACATTTCTCACATTGTGTTCCTAAAAGACGGACGCTCGGCCGTACCTAGTCACAACGCATGCACACAGAGCAGAGCTCACAAAGCTACCCCGGCAGTGTTAACCACCCCTTCACCTCTGAACATTCTCACAATGGCCATTATAGCCATATCTGCTCCACAAAGATTTCCCCGGATGTTCCTGAATACAACAAACTTTGCCTGCTGTTAAAAGATATGGAAAAGAAAGGTCATTCTGAGATACAAACTCCCTCAGACATCCTGGCCAAACTCCCTCACACATCCCCGCGGCAGGAACTCCCAGGCCTGATATTCCGGACTTGTGTGGGACATGGGCAGATATACACTCAAGTCCGTGTGGGTACTGGAAGATATACACTCAACCCTCTCGAGTCAAACGCTCGACCGCCTGCCGTTACGAAAGTAATGGCGGCTACCAATGAGTTGGTCTGTGGTAAGTTGGAGGATCCCGGGATTGTCGGGAAGTTTCAGAATGAGACTCTGGTTGTCTGCTTTGACTTGTTGACTTGTTAGCTCGAGTTTGGTGTGCTCTCTATGTGTGTGTACTCGGTCCGTGTGTACTCCATCATATGAGTTGTGTACTTCTCTTATGTTAGACCTCGTGTCATCCTTATCGTGGGCATACACTCAAGCCTATGTGGAGCCTGTGTGGGTAGTGGATGATGGACAGATCTATCTATCCTTCATACTGGATGATGGACAGATCTACACTGAAGGATATGTGACGAGTGAAAGAGACATTGTAGTGAAGTTCAAATTGCTTCAGGAGACTAGCAATTGGCCCAATATATGGGCCAAGTTTTTTGTTTTTTGTTTTTTTTTGGCGGACTTCAGGAAACGAGCACTTGGCATAGCATATGGCCGCGCAAATGCACTGCATCCCTCGGGGATCGGCATCGTTTCGGTCATCATTGATGAAATTTTTCAACAATCACCTCCACACCCGGAGGTCGTGGCGTGTATACAGAGTATCCTTAAAAGAAGTAGTTGAGTCGAGTACTCGTGGTTTAAACTTTAAACTAAGGAAAACACAAACAATGAGTGTTCCCTGCATTGAATCACAAAAGACAGGATGCAATAAGATGAAGAGCAATGGTAAGAAGAAGAAGAAGAAGAAGAAGAAGAATGACGAACGCTTAGCCCAATATATGACCGTGTAAATGCACCGCAACCCTCGGGGTTCGGCGTTGTATCGGTCACCACTGACGAAATTTATCAACAGTGACCACAACACCCGGAGGTCATGGTGTGTATCCAGCGCATCTTTAAAAGAAGTAGCTGAAACTTGAAAGTTTAAACTTTAAACTAAGGAAAACATGGAATGGAATCATGTTGTCCCTGCATTGAATCACAGAAGTTCCCACAACAACAGGATGCAATAAGACAAAGAACAATGGTAAGAAGATCGACGAAGGCAAAGAAGAAGAGGGAAAAAAAAAAAAATGGCAAGAAGAATAAGACAAAGAAGAAGAATGGGAARAAAAAAAAAAAAAAGAAGGGGAATGATGACATGTGATACAGACTGCATTACTTTTGGAGTGGATTTTTTTTTTTTCTTTTTTTGAATGTTTGAGTTGGTTCCTCTCATTAGTTTCAAAATACCGAACAAAGTTGGAAGCCTTAAATCATGAGTCCATTCAAGCCTCGCCTTTCCAATGCGCATTGCTGTCCGGCTCAAACCCCCAAAGAAGAAAATGAATGATCAAAAAGTTGAAAAACTAGCAACATTTTTACACACACTCATACAAAGGGAGGAATGTTGAAGATTCTGAAAATTTTGGGAGTGATGAAAACGTTGAAGATTTTGAACACCCCCACCTCACAGGGGGAGGCATGGGGGAGGCTGAGACTCTTCAGCGTTTTCACCACTTCAGAATTTTCAGAATCTTCAGCGTTCTACATACTCGGATAAAGGAGGGTGTACTTCATAATTTTTAGCATCTTCATCACTTCAAAATCTTTAGAATCTTCAGTGTTTCTCTACTCTTAGATAGGGTTTAGACGCTGAAGATTCTGAAACTTCTGAAGTGGTAAGAACGTTGAAGATTATAAACCCTCTCCCTTTAAAGAAACAAAACAGAGGGAGCCGAGTGGGGGGAGGGGGGGGGAGGGGGGGGATTCAAATTTTCAGCATTTTCACCACGTCAAAATTCACTCTAAATTGTCTATACCATGTTGTGTTTCCTATATTTGTTTCCAACTCTGCGGCGAGTCTCCAGACGCTCGCTAGAAGCCTTCGTCGGCTCTTGCAAGAGTCGAGCCTCTTGGGATAAGGTAATGTACTGTTTTAGACATGTTCTGAACAATGTCGTAGTTCAAACTACATCCTCCAGAATCTTCAGTGTTGCTACACACTCGGGCAAGGGGTGTGTTCTTCAAAATTCTCAGCATTTTCACCATTTCAGAACCTTCAAAATATTAAGCGTTTCTATACACTCAAACAAGGGGGCAAACGTTGAATATTTTAAAGATTTATTCCACATAAGGGCATTCAACACTTCTAAAATCATTGAAATTCGACTTCAAAACTTCAAAAGTGGTGAAAGTCCTCCACTTCAAAATTAATTTCAACAAAGATTCGAATGTCGTTGACCATGTGTAAACCACATGCGGTGCAATCTGCCTTTGGTGGTGCCACCAACGTTTTTCTACCCATAGGCCTAACTGGAATTTTGTTTCGCATGAAAGAGCGCTTTGGAACACGCTCAATACCGAAATTCATGATTTGTTGCCTTCAGACCAGTCTGATTTGCCCTCGGGGGGAAGGGGGAGTGACAGTTATTGGAAATTTTATTTGCACCACCTCGACCATTCGCACACAGGGTTTCTAAGCTCTTGCTTTCACTCCTTCCGAAAGTGTTCAGCTACCGTCTTCCCTCGAACATAACACCCTCCCTGATAATGAAACGTATAGAAGGTAAATTTTCACTCCGGTACAATCAAAATGAGCGAGTGTTATGTTCAGGGGAAGACAGTAGGGATGGTAGCCATATAGAATACTTCTTTGTTTATACTACTACCTATCACCCTCTGGCCACACCCCGCCCCCCCTTTCGCACAAACTACATGGCAGCTGCATCTCCTTGTTGGCGACACAATTTTTTGAGAAATCCTCCGAGTTGAATGTAAACTTCAACCGTGGTTTGATTTATTGCTCGGTTGAGATGTTTTGTTTTTCCCCTCCAAGTCAGTCGTAAACCACTTTCCCGAATTTTTGTGACATGCCCCACACGCCACACAGATGTCGGAAATTTTCCACACCCTGTTTTACAACAAGAGGATCATGGGAGAATACGAGGTCTGCGTCCACACTGCACAACATTGAAAATCAACTATATCTGGTCCACATATTAAACTCCGAATACATGTCAAACGTTCAACGGGGGCCGAATACATGTTAAACGTTTAATGGGTGCCTTGGTCCACACTGCACAACATTTGAAATGTGACACATTGGAACCCCTCAAATATATCTGGTCCATATTAGACCCCGAATACATGTCCAATGTTTAATATGGGCCTTCGTCCACACTGCACAACATTCAAAATATGACACATTGAAAACCCTCAAATGTATCGGATCCATATTAGACCCCGAATATATGTCGAACGTTTGATATGGTCCTTGGTCCACACTGCACAGCATTCAAAATGTGACACATTAGCAAAGAGCACACCTCTAAATCTAAAATTGAACAATAAGCCTCTCTCCAGCAGGGTCCGCGGTTCTCCCAAGAAAAAAAAAAATGGACAAAAAGAAAATTCCAATTTCACATGCCCGGGGCCTGGCAAAATTGAGCTTCAAGAAAATAGGATGAAGTAGGATTATTAGAAATAGCAATGGTGCTTCAAGTGTCCTTCACGAACATGTCATTTCATGCTACCATTTTCCACTGCACAAAATGCATCATCGCCACCTGTGTAACACGTCGTTCATCATACGGGGCTCTAGCCGTACAGCCGTACGGACGCTCGTCTAGCCGTATGAACGGTCCCGTACAAAGTGATGAAACCCCCCCCAAAAAATATATATATATAAAAAAATAAAGCTTTTCATGCTCTACACCCTCGTATTTTTTATTTTATTTTTTGGTCATTTTTATATTAAAAAAAATAAAAATAATCAAATCGGAAAAAAACAAAACAAAATAAAGAAATAAATTTTGATTGATTGATAGATTGATTGATTGATTGATTCAAAAAAAAAAAAAAAACCTCGCACATAAGACTCGCAGCTCTAACATAGCTGCGCACTCCCTCTGTCTGTCTGTCTGTCTCTCAGCGCGCGCAGAAGAGAGAGAGAGAGAGAGAGAGAGAGAGAGAGAGAGAGAGCATGTGTGTGCGTGTGTGTGTGTGGGCGCGCCCGCGCACGCGCATGTGTGTGTTGGGGGAGGGGGGGGAGGGACCCTCCCCCAACCAGCAAATCAATCAACCAATCTTTTTTTTTTAATTCCGGAACCCCACAACCCCCCCCCATCCACCCCTTCCCACCCCCTCGCGTGTCAGAACGCCCCAGGGAAGGCCGCCGAAACGGCTCGTACGGCCGTCAGGGCCGGTACGGCCACCTGGGGCCCTGTACGTACGGCCGTATGAGCTGTACGGACACCCCATATTTGTACGGGGTGTCACACCGCCCACCACTACTGTATCAGACCAGAAAGATAGCTTGTATACTTTCATAATCAGGGTGCATTGCATTCAGATCATGAAAGGATTCACATTGGAGACATCAGTCATGCCATGTCTTGTTAAACAGCTCCATGGGAGCGTTGCATACCTCCATACCACCTTGCTCTCCTCTCCTTTCTCCTTCTCCACCCATTGTCCACACTACTTCCCACAAGCAGTTTGTTGCTTCCCTACTATCTCCTTCTCCCCTCCTCCCCTGCGCTCCCATTCTCCTTCCTCTTTCTAGCCCCCGACTCCCAGTTCCAAGAACAGGATGGGGGAAACTGCACAGTACACGGAACTATTGTTGCGCAATAGCGGCGATGGGAAGACTGCATGGCACATACAAGGAACTACACTATGAAGTAGTTGCCCCGCCTGGTGGTGAATCACTTTCCGCATATCAACGAGTGACAACTGAACGTGTACAATTCGCCTTCTAATCACTGTATGCTCTTTAATATTTGCCAGCCAAGAAGTGCGAGAGCGAGGAGGAGAAGCCGACATGAAACCCAAGATGAAATATGTTGCGCAGTAGCGACCTGGAACTGAAAATGCGTAGAATCCAACTTTTCCGGTCATGCGTTCGTTGATATTCAACCGCCACGAAGTGCAAGAGCCTGGAGGAGAAGCTGATGAACTATTTTACGCAGTAGCGGCCTGGAAATCCATCCCCTAAGCAAGGCTGGACAGATGGAGGCAGGGAGGGAGGTGCCTTCTGTCCAAAGTAGAGAGCGATGTAACAAATTCCACGAGCTCTATGGGGAAAATTGTCACATTGTAGGAAAATCCACAAACGAAGTAAGGGTGTGAGGTGAAAGGGAAGCAGGGAAGCTCCGCTCCGTCTACTACGCAGGGAGGGAGGGAGGGAGGGAGGGAAGGGAGGGAGGTGCCCTCTGTAAAAACGAGAAAGCTATGTAACGAATCCCGCGAGCTCTATGGAGAAAATTGACAGACTTGTAGAAAAAAAATCACAAACAAAGCACGTGAAATTGAAGGGAAGCTCCGCGTACTGGGCAGATTTGTGCGCGCGAAAACCACAAACAATGTCAGAGGTCACAAACAAACATCATTAGGCCTCAGCTTACGGAACCCGACGAGTGTTTCGGCTCTTTGTGAATGTCGAAATAGCAACGATGCCCATGATGGATGAAATCTCTTGGGCACCATATGTGTGAACAGGTTCTGCCTTCATGGAGTCTCTGTGCGGCAGTGGCTGGTGGTCCCCACCTTCCTCAGAGGCTAGCACAGCTCAGGGCGGCTGCTGCCTATGTCTTTCTTTGGTGTGGTTTTGTGTTCCACCAAGCAGCAGGACTGCCAGGAAGCATTCAAGTCTCATTTGGAGGTAGCTTCTGACCCCTGCATTTGTTTGCAGTTTCTGTCACTTTCTGACCCCTCCCCCTTTTATTTGCAGCTTGCGACCCCCATTTGCAGCTTTTGGGCCCTTGTTCGCAGCTTTGACTATCTCATTGGAGCATTTCAGTCCCTAATTTACAGTTTTTTTTGCCCTCATTTGCAGTTTTGAACCATATTTGCAGCTTTCGACCCCTTCATTTGCAACTTCTGGCCCCTTCATTTGTGTGCAGCTTCTGACCCCTTCATTTCTGTGCAGCTTCTGACCCCTTCATTTCCTGTCTCTTATACACATCTAGATGTGTATAAGAGACAGCTTTCTGGTTGCTCCAGTCTATTCATGGGGAGCGTCAC